GTATATCAGCCTTTTGAAAGGAAAGGATTCAACAGCGGTGTGCGATTTTCCAATTAAGCAGCAGCTAACAAAGAACATAAAAGCAACATATTCGAAATGCCATAAACACTCCTCAATGAATATACAGTATTGCCTTCATATGAGCAAACATCCAGCAGAACTTTTATTTTTATCCATTTAATTATACAAAAATACAAAATATGTCAATATCACTATAAAAATGAATACACAAGCAGAGCCCTCCCCCCACTAATAGACGTCATAAAAAAATAAGACAAGCACAGGACATTCCATAGGAGGTGATATGTCAAGGGCCACATGCCAGAGGTACGCATGGCCACCCCGTTTCTCTTTGTCTGCCATTCCCTTCTATCTCTTCCCATCTCGTTCTCTCCCTTCCACCCCATCCACTGGGTTGCTGAAGAGGGACAGATCACTCTTGCCAAACTGTTTGCTTGGAGAGACTTTTCTAATCCCCACCTTCCATCACGCCAGCGGTTTCCCCCTCCTGCTTCCCTCCGTTTGGTTTCTTCCCTACTCCATGAAATTAGGCAGCAGGTCTCCACCCCACCACCCAGTGATGAACCTTTCTAGCCAGATCTTAACTCCACACACCCCCGTGGGCCAGTTTGGGCAGCTGGGTAGTACTACCCACCTGTAAATCATCTGGCATAATGTCATGTGATTGACACCTATCAAAGTCGGTCTACGGGGGGGGGTATAGCTCAAAGGTGGGACACAGGTGGTGCTGTGGTCTAAACCACTGAGCCTCATGGGCTTGCAAAGGGAAGGTCGGCGGTTCGAATCCCCATAATGGGGTGAGCTCCTGTTGCTGTCCCAGCTCCTGCCAACCTAGCAGTTCAAAAGCACGTCAGTGCAAGTAGATCAATAGGTCAGTGTTTCCCAACCTATTTTGGGCAAAGGCACACTTCTTTCATGAAAAAAATCTCGAGGCACACCACCATTAGAAAATGTTAAAAAATTTAACTCTGTGCCTATATTGACTATATAAAAAGTACAGTGGTGCCTCGCAAGACGAAATTAATTCGTTCCGCAAGTCTCTTCGTCTTGCGAGTTTTTCGTCTTGCGATGCACGGTTTCCCATAGGAATGCATTGAAAATCAATTAATGCGTTCCTAGGGAAACCGCCTTCAGACCAGGTCCGGGGACAGTCTGTCCCCCGACCTCTTCTGAAGGCTGGGGGGGGGGACAAGGGCTTTTCTTCCCACTGCCAGCCTTCAGAAGGCTGTTCTGAAGGCTGGCGGTGGGAAGAAAAGCCCTTCTTCCCACCTCCCGCCCCGCAAGCTCCGGGGACAGGAGGGCTTTGCTGCCGACCGCCAGCATTTTAAAAGCCCCTGCTGTCCCGGGGCGATTTAAAAATGCTGGCGGGCGGGAGCGAAGTCTCCGCTGCCCCGAGGAGATTTTAAAATGCTGGGGGTCGGCAGCGAACGCTTCGCTCCCGCCCGCCAGCATTTTAAGATCGCCCGAGGCAGCGGAGAAGTCTCCGCTGTCCCGGGAAGGCAGGCGGGGGGAGCAAAGACTTTTGCCCCCGCCTGCCTTCAGAAGAGGTGCAGGACCTCGTTCCGATGCCCGGCGGCGGGGTGCGAGGTTCCCGCCCCACCGCCCGGCATCGGGGCATCGTTCCGATGCCGGGCGGCGGGGTGCGAGGTTCCCGCCCCACCGCCCGGCATCGGGGCATCGTTCCGATGCCTGGCGGCGGGGGGAGAGGTTCCCGCCCCACCGCCCGGCATCGGGGCATCGTTCCGATGCCGGGCGGCGGGGTGCGAGGTTCCCGCCCCACCGCCCGGCATCGGGGCATCGTTCCGATGCCTGGCGGCGGGGGGAGAGGTTCCCGCCCCACCGCCCGGCATCGGGGCATCGTTCCGATGCCGGGCGGCGGGGGGAGAGGTTCCCGCCCACCGCCCGGCATCGGGGCATCGTTCCGATGCCCGGCGGCGGGGTGCGAGGTTCCCGCCCCACCGCCCCGCTTCGGAGCAGCGCTCCGAAGCGGGGCGGCTGGGGCAGGTGTTCCCGCCCCACCGCCCCGCTTCGGAGCAGCGTTCCGAAGCGGGGCAGCTGGGGCAGGTTTTTCCGGCCCCCCCGCCCCGCTTCGGAGCACCGGGAGAAGCGATCTCCCCGCAGCCCCTTGCTTCAAAAGAGGTCCGGGGGCAGCGGGGAAGAAGCGCTGCGCTTCCCGCTGCCCCCGGACCTCTTTTGAAGCAAGGGGCTGCAGGGAGATCGCTTCTCCCCGCAAAGCCTTGCTTCAAAAGAGGTCCTGGGGCAGCGCGAAGCGCTTCTCGCTGTCCCCGGACCTCTTTTGAAGCAAGGGGCGGTGGGGAGAAGCGATCTCGGGCGCCGCGGCGCGCAGGCGCACTGCTCGCTCCTCTTTTCGCGCAGGCGCCTTCTCTCGCTCTTTCGCCTCCTTTTCTTTCTCTCTCGATGGTCCGCCTACAAAGGAGCGAGGGAGGCGCCCGCCATGTTTGGATTTGCATCCAGCAGGAGATGCCGCCGCCGCCCCGCCTCTCCCGCCTCCCTCCCACGGCACACCAGGCAAGGTCTCACGGCACACCAGTGTGCCGTGGAACACCGGTTGGGAAACACTGCAATAGGTACCACTGTGGCAGGAAGGTAAACGGCATTTCCATGCACTCTGGCTTCTGTCAAGTGTTCCATTGCACCAGAAGCAGTTTTGTCATGCTGGCCACATGACCCGGAAAGCTGTCTGTGGACAAACACTGGCTCCCTCAACCTAACGGTGAGCTGAGTGCCGCAACCCCATAGTCGCCTTTGACTGGACGTAACCATCCTTTACCTTCTTTTACCATAGCTCAAAGGGCTTGCTCAGCTCTGTCTGCAGCGCTTCTCAAATGCCTGACAATCAGCTGCCTGCTGGATGCTTGGGAAGTCCTATGCAAAGCCTCTTTCCATCAAGCCCTGCCCTCACTTTCCCTACACCTGATTGTCAGAGGGGCATGACTTGTCCAAAACAGCCTTGTGAGCCAAATGGGGAGGCCTATCTGATCATTCCTTGCCTCTGGTTTTTAAGGGGAAAGACCTCTGGGAAAATTTCAGAATATGTGCAACATACTCAGTACTTGAGATTTATCACCATCCTGCACACACATAATTCCAGAGGAACAAAGTTTAATCATTATTAATTGAATTACATCCATTGTTCCCACTAGGCTTTATGCACTTGCTGCAATTTTATTCATGGTCATTTACCTGATTCTCTCAAAGAAGAGGCCCTAATAGAATTCCTTCCTTCCTTCCTTCCTTCCTTCCTTCCTTCCTTCCTTCCTTCCTTCCTTCATTGCATTGAATATCCTGGCTGCTATGCTCATCTTAGTTACTGAGTGAGAAGACCTTGTTTCAGCAGATCTGTTTGCATCACTGAACAACATCGGCTTAGCGGACAGAAAACCCTTTCTCCCCTAAGGCTTCTCGAATTGCTTGTTCTTCCCCAAGCAAACATCCAATCCTTCTTACAACCACCAACCACGTATAAAACCTTTACACCTCCAGCACGGCATAGATTATTTTACTTCTTTGCCTCTCGCTTCTGGTTGCTCGGCTTCCGTGCTGGATGCAACGGGTGGAGCTTCATCAACTCCTCCGTCCAGGAAAGGACTGGTGATGAAGGGCTGGGTCGCTCTGGCCCTTGATCACCACCAGTCCACTGCACTTCTGTGTGAAGGCTGAACCTGCAAGCTCAGCTTAGAGAACAAGTGGCCTGTGGCTGAGACCTGGATGGTTCCATGGTCTGATGTTGCATATCTGTGCTGGACATCTGGCATAAAAACACAGCAGAGGGTGCTGCTGTGGTGCAGGGAAGGAGTGCAACTTTATCTCTTCTATGCCCAGTATAATGGGGATGCAGTGGGCTGCCAGAGGAGGAATGAAGCAACCCCTGCTGCCTCCACTTCTAGGCTGGGGGTGGGGTCTGTGTTTCCTTGTGCCCAGCTCAGAAATACAGTGGTCTGCTAGAAGAGGGTCATCTGCCAGCTCACTCATTTGCCTGGGAGAAATGCTAGGTTACCTATGGAGACCATATGAGGAGGGCAAGACTGATTTATTCCATTTTATTTACTTCCAATAACATTCATAAGCCAGCAGCTCATTAAAACCATATATAAGGAAGGTGTACCATAAAATCAATAAACCATCGTAAAAGTGCAAGATCATAAAATACAAAACAAATTACCAACAGTGAATGTTATTAGGTCTCTTAAAAAGGTTTCCATCAGGCGATGGAATATCAAGAGTCATGGGTGCTAGCTTCATTTCAATAGGAACGGTGTTCCAAATAACTGGTGCCACTGCACAACAAGCCTTTGTTCTCATAGAGACTAAATGAAGACTGATAGCCTGAGTTTCCATTCCCTTTCAAGCTGGTAATGAACATCTGTGAATCGCATAACTAATACCAGCTATAGATGCACAGCACCTCCGGAAGTCATTAAACTCAGTTATGCACTTACGATTTCAGAACTTCACATTAAGCAGAAGTCCCAAGATTTCTGCCTTGAACCAAAAACCTAAATATTTAAATTCATTCAGGCACATGTCCAATAACCTGATGTCTTTAGGTCAAAGGACGTTGCTTGAATATTCCCTTTCTGTATGCACGAGGGGTGAGGAACCTGTGGCCCTACAGATGTTGCTGGACTTTCAGCTCTCATCAGCTCCAGCCAGCACATCCAATAGTCAGCGATGATGGGAGCTGCAGTCAAACAACATCTGGAAGGCCACAGGGGTCCCTCTGCCTACTGTGCAGTCCTTCAAGTTCTTAGGTAGTTTGTTTGAAATACATTCAGGCAGGCACTGGAATTTGTAATGGTCACTACAGTGGTACCTCTGGTTATGAACTTAATTCGTTCAGGAGGTCCGTTCTTAACCTGAAACCGTTCTTAACCTGAGGTACCACTTTAGCTAATGGGGTCTCCAGCTGCCGCCGCGCGGCCACAGCGCGACTTCTGTTCTCATCCTGGGGCAAAGTTCTTAACCCGAGGTACTACTTCCGGGTTAGCGGAGTCTGTAACCTGAAGTGTTTGTAACCCAAGGTGTTTGTAACCACTGTATGTTTTAATCTGTATTATGTACACTATATACTAACAGAGGTGCTGAACTTGATTTCTAAACCAGTTCAAACCTTGAGGTAGTTGACATATAAAAATAGTTCTAATATAGAGTTGTTTAGTTGCTTTTCCCCACGAATGACAAACATCAGTGCGGGGCAGGGCAGGCTAGGCTCCACCCCTGATTCAAAATGAACTCCACAATGCATGGGGGGGGGGTTTCCTATGGACATTGTAATGAACATACATAGGTGAGGAGCGGAGTTTGCCACCACAATGCCACTTTCCCACTGGAGGTGTCCACGCATTTGATGGGCAATGAAGGCCCAAAGAGGCCATCATCTTTCACTGATTCAATACTGATATTTTGCAGGAGATAGGCTTAAGCAGGAGTAACCACCTCTGTTAAGATATGAAAAAGTCACAATGGAAAACATATAGCTATCTCATGTTTCAGTTTAAGGCTGTGCACTCACACTGCTTTTCAGTGCCAGGTTTTTAATGCATATTCATGTTATCCAACATGCATATGTATCCCGTACTTTTGCTATAAGATACTATAGTTTGATGCGTCGTTTTCCAAATCAGCTTCACAGTGATTGGAGTCCCTGAGCCATTTCTAATTCGCCTCTAGCCAAGGTGTGAACACCTTTCTTTAGGGTAAATACATCGTCGTTCCATGAATGCCCACTGGTGTGTACACGAACAGAAATGGACTGGACACTAATTAGGCTGTGCTGATGTGAACAACTGGTCAGGAAAGAGCTTTGAGAACTTCACTGTGCTCTAAGGCAGTAATGCAATTGGCAATATTTTTTCAGGTCTATGGGCAAAGTAGTAGATCCCGCCCCCCCCTCAACTAAGCAACTCAGTGATTAACAATCCTTCAACCAACAAAAGCTTACACAGTTGGAGCTCACATAATTGTTACTATAAACATGCAAACTTCCTTCAATTTCAGTCTGGTATGTGCAAGATTCATCAGGTGCAGCATACTGATCTTTGGAAAGTCTTGGCAGTGAAGGAGGAAATGGCACAAAGATCTCCAGAGTGCTCACACAGCCTTCTCAGTGCAGGATTTGCCTCGCTCATGTAGAGGGATTAGGGCTCAGTGTTTAAGGAACAGCATGACACATTTCTCTGACTGGCGGCCATTTCAATGGCCTGGTAGTTAGAATTGCCAACTAAGAGATGGTAATAACTTTCATTTCCAATGTCTTTGATTTCCTCCTCTTGAGTTTCTTCTTCTTCTGTTTCTTTTTTACTTCCTTCGTCTTCAGTATTTGGTGAGAAAGTGCATTTAGAAACCACTCCACATCTTGGGGGTCTTCGGGCCACCTCAAGTATTGACCCCTTTGCAAAAACACTCTGACTGGTTGATACTTCATCAGCTGATATTGCGAAAGTGATCCAGCCACCACCATTATGAGGACGTCTTTCAGGTCACAAAAATACCGACTCTGAGCAAAATTAAAAGCTTCGACGCACCAGCCATCCTTGAGAAACTGCTTTGTCACAACGCAAATTGTCTTCCTACAGTTCCAAATGGCATCACGAATGTTGGTGATGTGATCCTCTCCTGGCAAGAAATCTCGCTCTTCAAAGCAGAGAGCAAATTTGTTTTTATCAGAATACTGGAGGTCTAGGTGCCTTATCAAGGAGTTCTGGACCCACTCAAAATCCTTGCTGCTGTAGCACATGTAGGCATCGTATCTATAGGTCTCTTCCTCCAACGCTGGCTGTTGCTCCTTCAAGAATACTCTTACCACAGTCTTATACCAAATGAAGCAAGTTCCTCTAAAGCGAGCAAAAACAATCACCACCGTTAGGAACATTGTCACAGCAACGGTGGTAAAAATGAAGAGCGACAACTGCAGAGGCTCCAATATCTTGTCTTCATTGCAATCATCAACATTAAACTCATGAAGGCTTTTGCCAGCAAGATCAGGGGGTCCAAAACAAAACCTTTCATCTGGTGACCCAGCTAAGGTGACATTGGTTTGGTTCAGCCACACAATTAGGTCGCTTAAGAGGCAATTACAGTAAAATCTGTTATAGGTGATATCCAGATTGTCCAGAGTTGCAAAGAGCTGAGGATCTGGATAAAGCAGCTGGTTCGAGGATAAGTCAAGTTTCCTGAGGCTCGCAGGAAAAGCACTGTGAGAAATGTAAGTTAAGAGGTTTGAAGCCAAGTTAAGCCTAATCAGTGATACCAGGCCATCAAAGATGCCCTCTGGAAGGAAACTAAGGTAGTTATTATTGAGATGCAGGACCTGAAGCTTGGACAACGCCTTGAATACATCCAAGCACAAACTTCTCTCCCACACAAGCTTCAACATATTGTCTCCAAGATCCAAGTAGAGCAACTGGTTGTCTTCTGCTATATCGTTGTACCTGTAGCAGTAGGAGAAGCGATTATTTCTTAACAAAATATACTGTGTAACTGGGTATCGGAGAAGTTCATAGAGGTCTCCCAGATTGTCCATCCTGTTTCCTCCCATGTCAACATATGTTGAATTTATAGCCACGATTTTGCTGTGGTCTCCAGACTGTATCCGGTTGCTACCTAAAAAAGCATAGCTGAGACTTGGGAGTGTTAAGATTACTTTTAGAGCATTGTCGCTGAGGTCCACAGTGTGAAGGCTTGACAGGCCTTTAAATGGAGCCCTATCAATCACCCCAATATGATTGTGTTGCAGAGCTATAATACGCACATTTAGAAGACCTTCAAAAGTGTAATCCAAGAGTTCTCCCAGCAGATTGTACGACAGGTCTAGGTGTTGTAGGCTCCAGAGACCAAAGAATGCTTCTTTTTGAATTTTATTTATGTTATTTGAGTTGAGATCCAGCAATTCCAGATCACCAAGATATTGAAATACACGTGGGTTAAGAGAAAAGATAAAGCCATGTGAAATATTAAGCAGGCGAAGGCCACTCTGGGCAAGACCTGCAAATGTATTGTTGTTTGGGTCTGGCATGTTATTAAAGCCAAATGATGAGCCCATGGTGTGAGACGACATCTTCAAACCCACAAGTGGTGTTCCCTGAATAGCTGCACAGAATTGCTGGGTTGTTCTTATACCCCAGCCATTGCCACCAACATCCAGCGTATCGAAGACAATGTTTTTGAAAGGATTGCCACAAGTTGCCCAGTCTTGAAATCTCCTTTAAACAAACCATTAGAATTAAGATTCAACAATGTGAAAGCTTTTCCTTGAAAGCTGTAGAGATCTCCCTCACATATGGTTTCAATGCGGTTTAATTTCAAGTTCAGAAGTGTTAACTTTTGCATGTTGCTCAATGAAGGGTGAGGGTGAAGCCTAGTGATCTTATTGAATGCAAGGTCCAGGTATTCCAGAGAGACCAAATCTTTAAAGTAATCCTTTTCCAGAATGGATTCGTTAAGATCATTATAGTATAGCAGAAGGTTACTTAACTTCCCCAGCCCCCTGAAAGCCTGTGGATCCAGCACAATCATTCTATTGTAAGCTAAATCCAGTTGATGAAGATTTGGCAAATTCCTAAAAGCATTCTTTCCTACTGTGACAGGAGAGACCAGCTGGCTTCCAAGTGACAGAACCGTCAATGTCTCCAGCAGTGGGAAGGATGTGGCATTCACTTGCTGGATGAAATTGAAATTTAGGGAGAGTAAAACAATGCCGTCAGGCAGAGGGGGAACCTGTGTGAAGTTGCACCAGTCATATTTCACAAGCCTGCCTGTTACGGCACACCGAGGATCTGCATTTATTCCTCTGTATGCAAATGTCAGTCCAATGAGAAATAATAGGTGACCATGAAGCATTGTGCTCTTGTCCTAGAGGAGAGAAAAACAGCATTGTAATTCACACAGGACTAGAGAAGGCTGGGCTAAACAGCACACAGAGTTTGCTTTACCAGAACTAACCAAAGGCTCTTTCTAGCTCAAAAGCCTATTTCCAACAGAGGCCACCCACATGCCCCTGAGCTCATTATTTAATTTAAAGGGATTTGTACAGTTCTTGCTCATCAAAGCCCCTGTGCAATTTAAACAGAACAAGCAGGGTATAAAGTTTATAGAGCACTCTCTGCTGTTGATGATCGGAGGGATGAGATCTCAAGATGGGAGCTTCTATTTTGTCACTATAGCCAATAACTCAGGCGCTGGGAGAACCAGTGGCTTTCAAGATATTGCTGGACTCCCAACTTCTAGCCAGCAAAGGCAGCGGTCTGAGATGATGGAGCTGGGGGTCCATCAACAGCTGGAGACCACCTGTCCAATATATCAGGGATGGGGAACCTCAGGCCAGGGCCCAAATGCAGATCTCCAGGCCTATCCAACTGGCTTCCCACACACCCCACATGCCCCTCCGCCAGCCACGCCACACTTTTGCCTGGCTGGAATGCATTTTTTAGCTTAGGACCTGCAAGGACTCTGCTCCTTGACCATTAGTAGCAAGTAACTTCTTTCTACCTGTTTCCGTTGTAGCAATACAGTGGTACCTCAGGTTGCAGATGCTTCAGGTTACAGACGCTTCAGGTTACAGACTCCGCTAACCCAGGAATAGTACCTTGGGTTAAGAACTTTGCCTCAAGATGAGAACAGAAATCGCATGGCGGCGGCATGGTGGCAGTGGGAGGCCCCATTAGCTAAAGTGGTACCTCAGGTAAGAACGGTTTCAGGTTAAGAACGGACCTCCAGAACGAATTAAGTTCTTAACCCGAGGTACCACTGTAGTTTGTTGCACAGTAGCTGGGCTGAGGGGAAGAACACAACAAAGAGGCTGAAGGGCTCAATGTCTTCCTGATAAGGAAGGGTTGGTTGGGATCCTGGGCTTCCCACACCCATGATAGTTGTTATCTCTTTTCAATTCATTATGAGTTGTTTGCCCAAGCTTCTCACCTGCACAAGCTACATGTTTATGGCAGGGTATAAATCCAGCAACAGATAATATAGAGCTGAATAATTAAACAGGACTGAAAATAATTAGCACTGCTACCACACAATGTTACAGGCTCTTCTCCTCTGCTATTAAGGTTGCCCTTTTTACTGTGCAAAGATGGATTTAACAATGTACTACTTCCCTAATCTGCTGGGAGAAATTATTCTTTTCATGTTTCCTATCCCTGTGATACTGCCTGGGCCAGAAGAAGCCCAATATATATTAAGTGGAATATTAATCAAAAAAATGAAGGATGAGTAAATGAATCATTGGCAGCTATGGCCACATTCACACCAAATACCCTTAAAGCATCATGGAAGCACTTTAAATTGCCGCGGAGAGATGATCTTGCAACACTTCTGGAGTGCTTAAAGCAGCCTTGCCCAACCTTGTGCACTCCAGAGGTCCTGGACCTTGTATGTTAGTACCAACACATTGAACTTGTCCCAGTAGCAGTTTGGTAGCCAGTGCAAATCATGCAAGCAGGATGTTTATATGCTGGTGTTAGTTTGTCCCCACAAGCAACCTAGTCATGTTCTGCACCAGCTGCAAAACTCCTGACCAACCCTCAAGGGTAGCCCCACACTGAGTACCACTGCAATAATCCAACCATGAGGTCACCAATGCATGGACAACTGTGCTCAAGCTATCTGGAAGACACCAGGTTGGGCAACACTGCTTTCAGCATTCCAGCAGTGCTCAAGATGACCCTTTGGGCCAGTGGTTTAAAGGCTAAGAGGACCCTGCTACTGAAACAAGCTTCCCACCAAGGATGTGAATTGTGGAAGAAACACCACTGTGTTTGATCCTGTGTATATGGATGTGGGCCTTTCAACCAAGGATAGCAAACATAGTGCCCTCCAGATGTTGCAGTCTACAAACTCCCACCAGCCTTCTCAATGCTGAGAACATAAGAGAAGTCATCCTGGTTCCTGTAGTCCAGCGCTATGTTCTCACAATAGCCAACCAGATGCTTATGCCCAAAGCAGGATCTGAGCATAGGTGGGTGATGGGGGTTGTCCTTCACAACATCAGGAGGACACCACGGCAACAACCCCTGCTTTAAACATTAAAGCCATTATCATGGGATGAACCTACAGAATGAGGCTCCTCATAACATGTAAATGGGCATGTTATAGTTTGTGCAGAACACTGTCGTTTGCCAGCACAGGAAGAGCCAGTTTTGTTTTTTAAGAGTTTATTGAGATTATAGCTGGAATAAATGACTGAAAACCGGAGGATTTTTTTTTTTGTCCCCTTCAGCATTATTGTGTTCAAAGTTAATAAGCATAAACTGCTGTGGAACCGAAATCCCTGCAAGCCATCCCATAAATGTATGCTTTTAGGGGGAGCAGGGAGGAGAACTGGGCCATGGGCCAGTAATTAACAAATAGGCCAGTGCCATGAATTATTGATACGGAATTAACTGAAGTGCTGCATTCACAGAATGGGCTGCCAGCATCTTGCACAGACTGCTTTTTGCAAAAGGTTTTCTGCTGGGCAAATGCTTGGGTTGTTGTTGTAGTTTAATTACTAGAAACGTTTGCAGCCTTTTGAAGCAGTACAGATATCACTTAAGAGTTTATATTTGTGACAAAATAAAGAGCAACCTGCCTTTTTTACTGCTAATCTGGACGGCATATTGGAATGGCTCTAACCCCAGATCAGGTTTAATCCAAAGCCACCAGCAGCATGGAGAAGGGTTTTGGGGAATGTGTGGGCAAACCAATTGCACACCAGTCACTTCATTGTCCATTTTGGCTATTAAAAACCTGACAGCAGAAGTTCCCTCTCCTTTTTTTCTTTTCTTCAGGCATTCCCATTTCTCCAATGCGCAAATTCCATTCATCCCCAGTCAACATGCCAATGCAGTGATGATGGAAAATGTAACCCAGATGGCACCTGAAAGGCCACATTTTCTCCTTATCAGCTGCAAAGTAAAAGGAGGACAGCCTAAAAAGCATAAATTGTCAACCTCATCCTATTAAAAAAAACCAAAAGTTTACTGCCCCAAGCTTATTTTAAAAAGAAACTATGGACAAGGTGATTCACTGACAACTGCAATTTCTGGATGCCTATCAGATGGGTTAATGGAGGTGGAACACATGAACTCAGTAAAGGCTGTTAACTGATATTCTTCCACCCTGACTGGGAGATGCTGGTGACTCAGGAACTGTTAGTTAATAGGAACATAAGGAAGACAGACTACTGCAACACACTGAACACGGGGCTGCGCACAACGACTGTTCAGATGCCTCAGCCAGTGCAGAATGCAGTAGCAAACACAGTGAGGAAGGCTGTGACAAATATGTTATATTGTCGCATCAAATCTGCATTGACTGCCAATGTGCATCCAATTACAATTCAAGATGCTGGTTGTTACCTAATATTATGCATAGCCCAATGATAGCACTACCTGTGTTTGGTTTTCTTTGGATGGAGGTCATTGGAGGCTGGTTGGTGCTTTGCAATATTTGTGTTTATTTACAAATATACAAGTTACAAATATATATGGGGGTCTCATCCACATGGCTTCTTCTTGTGCAAGCAGGAGGCCTCCACCTACAGATTCAGCAGTCTCTGTGTGAAATGAGGCTGCCCATCAACACTCACTCACCTTTGATGTACATCCTTAATGTACATGCTGTTCTTGGCAAGGCTTCCATACCAGACTTGAAATACAAGATTCCTTGTCCCCCAGTGAAAATATTATTAGTGGGAGTACAGCCTCAAAGAACAAAGAGAGCCAACAGTGCCCTCCAGATGTTGATGGATTACAATTCCCATCATCCCTGACCATCAGCCATGGAGGTTGGGCCTGATGGTCCAACAACATTGGTGGTGGTGGTGGTGGGATTATCACCTTGGCTCAGAAACATCAAGCTGAAGATCTAGATGTGATCAAAAGCATTTCTACAGAGCCATAAATTAGCGACACTGAACAAACCACAGATGCACACCAAGAGGAACTTGGGCATACTGCTGAGCTTGTAAAAACTGACCTGCACTGCTTGCACAAGACACAACCAGAATCAAGCTGTTCTAAGCCAACAGTGACTTCAGCTTTACCCCCCCTCCCTGCCCCCACCAGAGAGCTGGGAAGCATGTGCAACAGGGTGTCTGCCCAGTTCCTTCCCTTTCACCAACTCTATCTTCCATGGCTTAAGCAACAGCAGGAGTCAAACATGTCCTTTTTGCACGGGCATTCTGAATTCTGAATGAGGATGGGTAAAAAAAGAAAAGAAAAGCGGCCTCAGGAGTTTGGGTTTTGAACAAAGGAGTGGCACCATAGTGTGGGGATGTGTGCATGCACACCCACCAAGACTTATCCTGACAGCTCTTCTGCTCAAAATAGTTCCCTACCCAGCTGGTTCCCCTGCAGATCTGAGATGTGTAAAGGCGCCTCCCTATTTGTGCATGATTGATATGTGTATGATGTTTTCAGCACCGCAAGGGGATGGGGCAGGGGCAGAATGAGGCAGGGTGGGCTTACGCATCTCCTGCTAAAGCACCCTGTGCCTCGGAATGTAATCGCTGCGTAAATAGGAAGCTGCCTGTATTACACTTGTAAATGTGCATCTGGAAAAGAAGCTGCAGGGAATTTTGAGCAGAAAAGCAGCTAGTTGGGAAAGGGTTAAGTATTCCTCCTCCCCTTCTCCTTAACCCACTGCCATTACTCTCTTCAAAATCTTTGCCTTCCAGCATGCTTTTCAGTTAAAAAAACAAAAACATCATCATCATCATCATCATCATCATTATTATTATTATTATTAGAATTTATATACCGCCCTGTACCCAGAGGTCTCAGGGTGGTTCAGACTAGTAATTACTTGTCCCTAATTCTTAAAACAGTCTCACCACAAACTATAGCAAATACAGAATACTGTTTGCAACC